GGTGGGGGGGGGATGATTGTACAGGCCATCCCCCCCCCCCCCACCTGACATATGGGGGGGGGGATATATCCCCCCATCCCCCGGGATCGACACCCATGGACATGCAGTAATTATGACATCATTATTATTTCCAAATTCAATAGCATCTTAACCTACAATGAAATTGATGCACTTACGATCGTGAAAATGATATAAGTATAACATTTATTCCCTATCGTTTAAATTGATAGATCTCTAATTTTGTTTGTTCTTTTATTTGGGTCATGAATGGCATCTCAACAGATAGGAAAAGTGTGTATTGAGGGTTGTGATCTACGTAAAAATGACCCAACAGCATCACGTGACCTAGCAAGGTTTCTATTTTTCCTGCCTTGTCTCACCGACCTGACGATAAAAGACTCTGACGGTCAATACAAGCATCTTTCCCTTCTTGATGATTTCTACCATGAACTTGCTCGTCAGGCCTCATCCTCAAAGGTGATTTACAAGGTGTTTTAATTTAACACACGGAAAAGAGGACATTTGTTACACCGTTACACTGAAAGATGAAACTGTCAATTACTTTGTACAACTATTTCGTTGGGAGAATTTTAAACATGACAGTTAGGCGAGGCGTCAAAAATATCGATACCAGCCGGCTACCGCCTCACGTATTGGCGGATCGAGGCTGCAATTTCGCCCGAAGCCTGGCTGGGGCAATTAATTTTCACTAATTAGCCCAGCCGGCTTGCGCCAGGCTGGGATCTGAGTTTTACCCCGGAATCTTTAATCGGCCCATCCACCCCCCGCCTGGCGGCACGTCTATAATTGGCTCAGCCGGCCTCCGCCAAAAATAGGTTGTTAAAGTTGCAACTTTAAAGTTACCAGTTGGCGACCGCCGTACGGAGATGCTTAAAGTTTTAGTGGCGGCAGCCAGGCGGAGATGCTTGTAATCCAGAATCTGCACGGTTCTTTATAATTTCCCCACACTTGATCCAAGCCGTCGAAGATGGCGTTATCAACAGACTCATAATTATGCTCACCAGCCCAGCCTGAGTTTCGCGGGGCGTCTTAATTTAATGATCACGCCATCATCGGCTGGTAGCAAGTAAGTAGGGAGAGGTTGTGTTGGTGCGGTGGAGATTAAAATTAAATAGGCCAGATTCTGACGAAGATTCTTGAAGTTGTAACTTGTTGAAACGTGTAACTGAGCTTTCCCTAAAAATGGCGCTTGGCTGGAATGCTCCCCCAGGGAGTATGTGTGCGGCAAAGCCTGAATCCGATGACCGGGGTAATAATATATATATAATTGTGAAGCGCTATTATAATAATATAAGAACTAGCTATTATTGCTCAAAACCCCTGAGCTTATTATTTACAATTTAAGTGGATAATTTCAAATATTTCATGTCATTTTATGTCTTTATATCCACTATCTTACACCATTTAAACTTGGTGTCCACTCAAGGGCGTCTCCAAAGGGAGGGGGTGGGGGTGCGACACCCTCCCCCCCCCCCCCCACCTGTCAGGATATTGTCGGTAAATTGGCTGTCGTCGGGGAAAAAAAGAGAAAAGGGGGAGGCGAAAAAAGAGAGGGAAAGGGAAAGAAAAGAAAAAAGAAAAAGAAAAGAAAAAAGGAAAAGAAAGGCAAGAGAAGAATGAAAGAGAAAAAAAAAAGAAAAAGAAAGAAAAAAGAAGAAAAAAGAGAAAAGGGAAACAAAAGAAACGGGGGAGGAAAGAGAGGAGAGAGAGGGGGGAGGTAAGGGTCTGAGAGAGGAGGAGTGGAAGTAAAAGAGAGAGGGGGTTGTTGGGTGGAGTCGTCTCGTCGAGGGAGCAAGAAAGACACGGGTAACATATATTGCTGTGTCGGATCAGCTGTGTCGGTATTCTTGCTCGATCCTCGTGTACTATATCAATGCAGGGGCGTCTCCAAAGGGGGGGGGGGGGGGGTGTGGGGTGCGATCTATCAGGATATTGTCGGTAAATTGGCTGCCGTCGGGAAAAAAGAGAGAAAAGGGGGAGGGAAAAAAAGAGAGGGAAAGGGAAAGAAAAGAAAAAAGAAAAAGAAAAGAAAAAAGGGAAAGAAAGGAAAGAGAAGAAAGAAAGAAAAAAAAGAACAAGAGGGAGGAAAGGAAAGAAAGAAAACAGAAGAAAAAAGAGAAAAGGGAAACAAAAGAAACGGGGGAGGAAAGAGAGGAGAGAGAGGGGGAGGTAAGGGTCTGAGAGAGGAGGAGTGGGAGTTAAAGAGAGAGGGGGGTTGTTGGGTGGAGTACGTCGTCTCGTCGAGGGAGCAAGAAAGACACGGGTAAAATATATTGCTGTGTCGGGTCAGCTGTGTCGGTATTCTTGCTCGATCCTCGTGTACTATAACAATGCAGAAGTTTGAAGTCGGTGAGATGTATATTGTCGGTCGGCCGACAAGTTTTTTTTCCCTAGGAACTGTGACTTTTTATCCGCTGGCCTTCCTTTAGTTTATTGTTTTGGTTAGTGATCGCGAGGAGGCGCGATAGCTCAGTCGATGGTCTCGTTATCCGGTGACCCGGGTTCGAAAGCAAGTCGATGCGCTAGTGCCCTTTGGTAAGGCATTAATCCTCATTACCAGGTCCCTCGGAGAGGACCTAAAGCCGTCGGTCTTCTGGTTGCTTACTTACAAGCATTTATTGCTTTCTTAGCTGTCAGGTAAAATAACCACCACTATCATGTATCATAACCCCCTCCAATGAGCGAAAATAACGGTCTGCGCGATTTTCAAATTTCCGGTGGCAAAAATAAAACAAAAATTATACTACCACTACTACTACTAATAATAATGTTACTGCTGCTGCTGTTGCTACAACTAGTCTACCACTGCTGCTATAAGGCCTATTACTACTTCTTTACTGTTATCTTCTACTACTGCTGCTGTTGTTACTACTACTACTAGGCGCGGTCCAGGATTTAATTCTTAAGGGGGGCCCACATTTGAAATTATGCGAGCCAAATATTGGTATGTAATGGTGACACCGGCAGTGGCAAAAACGTCTTTTTGGGGGTAGACAAAAAAAAATGCCGATGGCACCCCCACTCTAACATGTAGGCCCCGCCGTTGAACGTTTCTCAGCGGGGGTCAAGGGGTGGAGCCCCCAGAAGCTCAAGGGGTATAGGCATTTAATTACTGTCAGATGAGCATATTTTGATACCGTATTTGTGACACTGGCAGGACATAAATTTGTTTTGGGTCCAGAGGGCGGAGCCCCCAGAAGCTCAGGGGTTTTATACATTAAATGATCGTCAGATGAGCATAATTTTATACCTTATTTGTGACACTGGCAGGTCACGAATTGACGTGGGGTCCAGGGGCGGAGCCCCCGGAAGCTCAGGGGTTTTGAGCAATAAATTACGATCAGATGAGCATATTTTTATACCTCATTTGTGACACTGGCAGGACACAAATTAGTGTTGTGTCCAGGGGGTGAAGCCCTTAGAAGCTCAGGGGTTTTATATATCAAATCATCGTCGGATGAGCATAATTTTATACCTTATTTGTGACACTGGCAGGTCACGAATTGGCGTGGGGTTCCGGGGACGGAGCCCCCGGAAGCTCAGGGGTTTTGGGCAATAAATTACGGTCAGATGAGCATATTTGTATACCTTATTTGTGACACTGGCAGGACATAAATTGGTGTTGGGTCCTGGGGGCGGAGCCTTAGGGCCCTAGGTGGGGTCCAGGGGGCAGAGCCACCGGATGTCAAGGGGTTTTAGGCATTTAATTACGGTAAGATGAGCATATTAGCAAATTGAATGACGCAATTAGCTTTTTGAATGTTGATCTACATAGTCATTCAATTTCGCACGAACTACTAATTAACAACTTTTAATTACTATAGTTTACACAGAAATTATATTGCTGTAAATGTAAATGGGTTTGTAATTGCAAAAACCAGAAAGTCCGAAATAATATGTAAATAGTTTCTTAATTCCGAAAATGAAATGGACCGGGCTATTTATTATTGACATTTTGTTCTCATTTTCTTTATCACACGTTTTGTAATCTTGACACAGTTCATTCTTTCCTAATCGCTTTTTTAAACACCAATTTAGATTGGCCGCTTTTCAAAGACATGAACAAATTATTATGACGTGCGCTTACCAGCCGATAATTGATTTTTGTTCTTTCTTTTTGTTTATCCACGCACCGTAGTCTTGTAGTCTCCTTCTATTCTTTACGCGTTTTAGAAGAGGAAAAAGACGAAAAAAACACACCTGAAAACAATGTGTTTATTTAACACCTTCCCGTTCTCTCAAATTTTCTCAATGTCTAGCCATGATAACTCTGTCTCATTTTGTCTCGACATGCCACTATTGCCAATATAAAGATCCTCTACCTCTAATGCCCCATTGTACTACTTGTAGCTACTTGCTCCCTCTATATAGAAGACAAGCCTATAATAAATCGGTGACCATTGGTCCCCATGATCCTCTTTTCTTATGTTAATCGAGAGCTGAGTTAATGAGATAGCCATCTGTCAGTGAGCACCCTGGGCGGTCTATTCACTCCTAGCCAAACTAGTACAGTCGGTCTTTAAAGACAACATTACATCTATGCCTAGGAAATGAAGGCCTATTTATTATCCGCTACTAATTTACTACGCCTCTGCAAGTATCCTGATGGGCCTTTGTCATTTGGGTCCGATCGTTCACGAGACCCCCCCCCCCCCCCGTCTCCTCACACACACATGCCTTGCCGAGACATCAACATGGTATCATATGTACACCTATTCTACTGACCAAATATTTAATTGGGCGATTCCCAAATCCTTAATCCCCAACCCGAACGATAGAATCTGGGAAACCGCAAATCTGGACAAAAGCGATCGAACAATAACGTTGAGTCGCTGAGCGCGCGACTACATAGTAAAAGCTATATCACAATAGATGCTTAGAGCTCGCCGTTGACTTGTTTGTAAATAGGGACTTTTAGATTTGCGTGGACTGATACGTGTGACGTCCATTCAAGGCAGTGCATTAAAAGGACGTCGACCGTAGCAATCCACATTGTCTTCGTGCAAAACTAAAAGTCCCTAATAACCGATAAAGGTGTACGTTAGATAGAGTATTTGATCGTGAATCCTAACTTTTCCTTTTCTTTTCGTATAATTATGTCTGTTTAACTTTATGTTTTCTATTTGTTTCCATGACGCACCGCCCCACGAAAAAGCAATAACAACAACATAATCAGGAGTAAACAGGTACTAAATACAAAAGAAAAAGAAAATGATAATGATTATGAAGAGAATGAATGTACACATATTTGAGAACATTACAGTTAACTTTAAAAACATTACGGTAAAAAAAAAAAGTGCAATGCGATGCTGGTGTATCGCATTGTGCATTGTCTGCCTTCAGAGGGTTAACAGAACATACATGTATATGCTTTAGTTTTTATCTACGTTCTGTGATTTTATGATTCTTCACTACCAACATTCTGAAGATTACAAACTTAGTCGTAATGAAAGTCATATCTTAAAATGGGGGATTTGGAAAAAGAGCGATGTTTAATAGAGCAGATACAATAACAACACATTCTGGCTTTGCAATGCATATTGTCTTTTAGGACTATACAAAGTTTGGTTGTGTAGTTGCATATAGGCTACATTTTTCTATGTACGGTGTTTGTTACTTTATAACCAAGGCTTGGCTAATTCCAGAACCTTGGAGTACACACCAATACGTACATGTTACATGATCAACCTAAACTAAGTTTGCGCCCCCTAAGTTTTTAGAACAAGTTGCGGCACCTCAATAAAATATAAATTTCTGCACCCTAAGTTTCAAATTTGCGCCACCTTAGTTTCAGACCAATTTTGCGCCCCTTAAAATATAAACGTCCCCCCCCCCCAAGTTTCTGATCAATGCGGCGCGAGCCCTTCAACGTAATAAATACATTGTGCGCCCCCTAAATTTCAGAACAAGTTGCGGCACCTCAATAAAATATATATTTCTGCACCCCGCTAAGTTTCAGATCAAATTTGCACCCCCTTAGTTTCAGACCAATTTTGCGCCACCTTAATAACCAGGATATAAACGTCCTACCCCCTTAGTTTCAGATCATTTTGGCGCCGCCTCAATAAAATATAAATTCCTGCCCCAAAGGTTTCAGATCAATTTTGCACCCCCTCCTTAGTCTAAGATAGATGTTGCGCCCCACAGGTTAAGATAAATTTTGCGCTACCTCACTCGAATATAAAATGCCGCCCCTTAGTTTCAGATCAATTTGCGACCCCCCCCCCCCGAAGTTTCAGATCAATTTTTCGCCATCTCAGTAAAAGACAAATGTTGCGCCCCCGGTCAATAATGTATATATTTTCCGCTACCTCAGTTTCAGATCAATTTGCAACTCCTCAATTAATCAGCACTGTCATTTTTCTCTTCTTTTTTCCAAGTTTAATATTTTTCGTTATATACTTTCAATTATTTCGCTCTATATCTAACACCATCACTTTAATACGGCGAAAAACATGTGAACGCAACGTTGCCATATGATGGAAGGCACGTTTGAAAGGGAGAGGAAGAGAGAGAGAGAGAGAGAGGGGGGGGGGAAGGGGTGTCGAAGACCAAAGGGGAACCTTTGACCCATGTATTGTTCGTGAAATGCATGCAATACTGTTTAATGCACCCATAGGCCTGCAGTGATTGGGCATATAGAGTACCCTTTAATATACAAAGAGTTGCGAGACGAAGCGTCCGTTTTGTTGCGTTTTGTTGGAAACAGATATGGCGTTTGAATTATAATTTGGACATGCATGAAGTAATCAGTTGATTGAGTGAAACAAGCCCGGATGCGTGTGGCATGGAAAATTAAGGCATGCCATTAAAGGGATCCGGTAACTTTGTCTCAGATTCTGAAACAAAATTCTGGATTTAGCTCATGATGCAATGATAATTATAAACCTTTAGGTCAGTCAGGACCCCCATGACTTTTACAAGCCGATCGCCTGTCTGATTATCAAGATACTTATGATTGGAATGACAAATTTTGAAAACCGTTCGCCTGACGGTTTTCAAAACACTACAGTCTATAGGGGAAAACGAGTATGGTAAAACCGGTCACTCAACGATTTTTTACTTTTTTGAGGCACTTCTTGATCATTTTGAAGCGCAATTTTTTTAGGGCTTCAATATTACACCATATCACAGACACTGATAACATGTAGGGCCGTGTATCTCAGATTTAACATTGTTAAACAATCCCTTTAATGGCGTGCGACCTATGCCTTGGACGTGTCGGGCAGCATGCTAAGACATTTTCGACGTCATGCTTTACTCAATATATTTACAGAACATTCATCAAACATTGAACATTAGACAAATCTAACAATATTAAAAAAGAATCACCCCCTCCCTCCACACACATAGCCTATGCCATGCCGATACTTTGGGTAATTCAAGTTAGGCAGCCTTAATCCGCGCCAGACAATAGAATCTGGCAAGCCGGACAAAAGCGATCAAACTAGCGTTGAGTCACCGAGCGCGCGACTACGTATAGTAAAAAGCTACTAGTATATGACAGCAGATGCTTATTGTTGTTGAGCTCGCCGTTGACTTGTTGTTTATTATTTATATTTATATACAGTCCCCAAATAACCGATAAAGGTGTACGTTAGATAGAGTATTTGATCGTGAATCCTAACTTTTCCTTTTATTTTCGTATATGTCTGTTTAACTTATTTTGTTCTATTTGTTTCCATGACGCACCGCCCCACGAAAAAGCAATAATAACAACATAATCAGGAGTAAACAGGTACTAAATACAAAAGAAAAAGAAAATGAGAATGATAATGACGAGAATGAATGTACGCATATTTGAGAACATTACAGTTAACTTTAAAAACATTACGGTAAAAAAAAAAAAAGTGCAATGCGATGCTGGTGTATCGCATTGTGCATTGTCTGCCTTCAGAGGTTAACAGAACATACATGTATATGCTTTAGTTTTTATCTACGTTCTGTGATTGTATGATTCTTCACTACCAACATTCTGAAGATTACAAACTTAGTCGTAATGAAAGTCATATCTTAAAATGGGGGATTTGGAAAAAGAGCGACGTTTAACAGAGCAGATACAATAACAACACATTCTGGCTTTGCAATGCATATTGTCTTCTAGGACTATACAAAGTTTGGTTGTGTAGTTTGATATAGGCTACATCTTTCTATGTACGGTGTTTGTTACTTTATAACCAAGGCTTGGCTAATTCCAGAACCTTGTAGTACACACCAATACGTACATGTTACATGATCAACCTAAACTATACATTTTGCGCCCCCTAAGTTTCAGAACAATTTGCGGCACCTCAATAAAATATTAACGTCCTACCCCCCCCCCCCCCCCAAGTTTCAGATCAATGTGGCGCGGGCCCTTCAATAAAATATAAATTTTGTGCCCCTAAGTTTTTAGAACAAGTTGCGGCACCTCAATAAAATATAAATTTCTGCACCCTAAGTTTCAAATTTGCGCCACCTTAGTTTCAGACCAATTTTGCGCCCCCTTAAAATATAAACGTCCTACCCCCTTAGTTTCAGATCAATTTGGCGCCGCCTCAATAAAATATAAATTCCTGCCCCAAAGGTAGACTCAATTTTGCACCCCCTCAATGAAAGATCCATTTTGCGCCCACCTTAGTTTCAGATCAATTTTGCGCCCCCTCTTTAGTTTAAGAGAGATGTTGCGCCCCCGAAGGTTAAGATAAATTTTGCGCTACCTCAATCGAATATAAAATTGCCGCTCCCTTTTTTTCAGATCAATTTTGCGCCCCCTCTTTAGTTTAAGAGAGATGTTGCGCCCCCGAAGGTTAAGATAAATTTTGCGCTACCTCAATCGAATATAAAATTGCCGCTCCCTTTTTTTCAGATCAATTTTGTGACCCTCCCCCCCCCCCAAAGTTTCAGATCAATTTTTCGCCATCTCAGTAAAAGACAAATTTTGCGCCCCCGGTTAATAATGTATATATTTTCCGCCACCTTTTTTTCAGATCAATTTGCAACTCCTCAAGTAATCAGCATTGTCATTTTTCTCTTCTTTTTCCAAGTTTAATAATTTTCGTTATATACTTTCAATTATTTCGCTCTATATCTAACACCATCACTTTAATACGGCACATAACATGTCAACGCAAAGTAGACATATGATGGAAGGCACGTTTGAAAGGGAAAGGAAGAGAGAGAGAGAGAGAGGGGGGGGGGGTGGGGGTGTCCAAGACCAAAAGAGAACCTTTGACCCATGTATTGTTCGTGAAATGCATGCAATACTGTTTAATGCACCCATAGGCCTGCAGGGATGGGGCATATATAATACCCTTTAATATACAAAGAGTTGCGACACGAAGCGTCCGTTTTGTTGCGTTTTGTTGGAAACAGATATGGCGTTTGAATTATAATTTGGACATGCATGAAGTAATCAGTTGATTGAGTGAAACAAGCCCGGATGCGTGTGGCATGGAAAATTAAGGCATGCCATTAATGGCGTGCGACCTATGCCTTGGACGTGTCGGGCAGCATGCTAAGACATTTTCGACGTCATGTTTTACTCAATATATTTACAGAACATTCATCAAACATTGAACATTAGACAAATCTAACATTATTAAACAAGAATCACCCCTCCCTCCACACACATAGCCTATGCCATGCCGACACTTTGGGTAATTCAAGTTAGGCAGCCTTAATCCGTGCCAGAACAATAGAATCTGGCAAGCCGGACAAAAGCGATCAAACTTGTGTTGAGTCACCGAGCGCGCGACTACGTATAGTAAAAAGCTGCTAGTATATGACAACAGATGCTTATAGTTGTTTACTTGTAGTTTATTATTTATATTTATATACAGTCTCCTAATAACCGATAAAGGTGTATGTTAGATAGAGTATTTGATCGTAAATCCTAACTTTTCCTTTTCTTTTCATCCAGTATATATTCAGACAAATGTCTGTTTAACTTATTTTTTTCTATTTGTTTCCATGACGCACCGCCACACGAACAAGTAACAACAACAGCATAAGGCAATTAACCAAAATATACATGTTTAGCGTCCCCGCCCGCTTCCCTTTTTAGGGCCCCCTCCTTTTTTGTTTTCTTTTTTAAAGTAAAAAAAAAACATACAAACACTGTTAAAGGTACTATGTCCCATTTGCAGGCCAAAAAATGAAAAGGTTAAATTCCAACGGCATTTGAAAGACAATACTAATTTAGAACTTCCCTAAAAAGAGGGAGCTTGAACATGTCTTTAAGTGGGAAAATAAAGACTATTAGTCGTCGAATCGACTTAGGAGCTATAGAGCCAGTAAGTAATAGTCTGATTTTCAGACCATTGTACCGAATGGTCGTACGTTTTATGCTTCGCAAAGATTCAATTAGTTTAATTTTGGCCATTACAAGAAGTGGGTTATTGATGTAGACAAATGCTCATGTACCCTTTACAGCTCACTTAATATATATATGTTATTACCAAAGATGAAAACAGCCAATCAGTCACCCAATAGTGTCTGACAGTGAAGTCAAGCAAGTAAACCAGTTTCATTGCATAATTTGAATATTAGGACACTGCTCAAGTTTAAATTTCACAGATAGGACATACATAACATATTCATAATTCCTGCAAAGTTCTGCAGAATTTGATGTAGGCTGCAAAAGGGACATTGTATCTTTAAAATGGATCTATTTCTGATTTTAAAATTTAAAAAATCCCCTCAGCCATCTTGGCTGCAGGGAAAATGTACCAAGCGGCCATTTTGAAAAAGAAAAAAAAAGAAGAAAAAAGGCCTCCTCCTTCCTATTTTTTTAAAAGGCAGAACGCTAAACATTTTTATTTTATTTGGCCTAATATATGTCGCCGTCATGTTTTCAAGTTCTAATGAGTTGCGTTTTAAAGTTCAGTCTAGAAATCAGGGGCACTTTATCTTTCGAACAAATATAAATCTAAGGTCGCCTCTATCGGTTATTTGGGGACTAAATAGATATGAATGAGGCCAAATAACAAAAACGAAGTGTTTCTCGCCTCCTTTTTGGCCGCCGCCTCCTTTTTTTGTTTTACTATTCCGGAACCCCCCCCCCCCAACAAAAAAGCCTGTGATATATATTTTGTTTAAATATCTTCTAAAGTGATACAAATCATTTATTTTGTCATACATTTCATCACTATACTCACTTAGCACAATATCTATGAATAAATGGGCTTGGCCAGCTATAATAAGCAATTGGCAGCCATCTTGGAAAAAAATTGAAAAATATAGGATTTCCCATTCAAATTAATTTGTCGTGCGTTCAAATTCGACGGTTTTAGTGCAGTCAGGTATATACCGGGTTTATATTCCCTTTTCTAGTTTTCAAATCTATGGAATTTTCGTTAGAATCTACGTATGTTTCATTCATATTAATAAACGATGTGCTTCTTTAGCTATTTGGTCATTCGATTTGGCGCAACACGATTTTCTGACAACGCGACGGTGTACTTTTAGCATTCTAATTCATTTGTAGCATTCAAATTAGCACTTTGTGCACTTCAATTGATGGTCAATATACATGTATCGTTTATTACACACTTTTTATAGCTCATTCTTTTTCTTTCAAGATTGTTTTTTCATGTGTATTTCATCATATTTCATTTTCTTGCAATTATACACTTATACTTATTAGATTGATCTAATATTCATCAGCATTTAAGTTTGATTGTTAAGAAGAAAAAAACGACTTGCATCTACAGACCTGATAGTCTCAGCATACTTGTAAATGTTCATGTAAGGAAGATGTTTGTCTTATGTTTAATCATAAATTTATCATAATTTCATCATAATTTCATTATGGAAGAAGGGTACAATATTGTGACTGGGGTAGGTACTAGAGTCAACAATTTGAACATGATTCATTATTTAGCCATGTCTTTAGTCATCGATCTATGAAACTCTTTAAGAAAAACAGAGTGGTGCGCTGGGTATAAGAGACGATGTGAATTACTTGTGTAAAATTCCGAGTCTGTAGTAAAACAAAAAAAAAGGGGGGGGGGGGCGATTGAGGGTACCCCAACCTTTCCCGGGTATATGAACATGTCTGTGCAGAAATGCCTTATCCCTTGATTTCGCCCCTTCTTTACTTTATGTCTGACTACACCCATCTGCATTGTCCTGAAAATAAATAAATGGAATAACAGCTTAGACCCCAATGGCAAATGATGCATTTTAACTGCATTATTTACAAATTGTAAAAGTTTGTTGAAATTCTTCCCCCTAACATTCCTAACTTGAATACAAAATATTACGAATACGAATGACAGGGGTTAATTTGAATGATAAAAAATACGCTTCGACAAGTGAATATTAATTTGAATGCTAGTTGAGCAGTTTCTAAATTGAATGACAGATCTATGAAACCCTTCGACCAAAATCCTAAATTAAATACAAAAACTGGAAAATTGAATGATAATTGGCACGGCAAAGCCGATCTGCGCTAACTTAAATACAAAGTAAATGAATTCGAATGACAAACACGCAAATTTGGCCGGGAAATCCTATAGTAAAAAGTAATGCCCTGCATGCCTCCTCCGTTTTGTGTTAAAGTCTGGACGAGAAACACGATATTTTTATTATTTGGCTTAATAACAAACATATCAACGGCGAGCTCAACAATGAGGTATCTGTTGTCATATACTAGTAGCTTTTTACTACGTAGTCGCGCGCTCGGCGACTCAACGCTTTTTCGTGGGGCGGCGCGTCATGGAAACAAATAGAAAACATAAAGTTAAACAGACATAATGAAAGGAAAAGTTAGGATTCACGATCAAATACTATATCTAACGTACACCTTTATATGTTATTTGGGGACTTAATAGATACAAATAATAACAAACAAGTCAATGG